CTGAATCCCTCCAGTGGAATTATAAACCCCTAGGAAGGATAACTGAATCCCTCCAGTGGAATTATAACCCCCCAGGAAGGACATCTGAATCCCTCCAGTGGAATGTAAATCACCCTGCGTAAAATTTTGAATTGAAAAAGCATTTTTTCAAACCCCTCCAGTGAAAAAGAATTCCCTCCGGTGGTCTCCAGTGGAGTCAAAATCTTACTGCGAACTTCCATGACTCGAATTCACGCGGCCATTTTTTTCCCCCCTTTTGATTAGAAAATTTCAGTAATGATTTCGCTATTTGCAATATTAATTGATAAACAGTGCCTTGAACATTTTTAGAGATTTATCAGTTGCAATAAACTGCAAATTAAAAGATTGTTAGGATATTTCTGAAGTAAAGAGTTAACTAACTGGTTTAAAAACATTTAAAACATCTTTGGTTTTAGCTTTATATCGCCAGTCCGAGTAATTATTTTTGCAACTTTTTTTAAAATTAAGAATCATACACCTGTTTCGTCAATTCAAAGTCAAAAAATATTTTTTTTTGTAAAATATTTTATAAAAATTGAGATCGTTAAAAATGAGAACTTTTAAAAATCACGGAAAATACCATTAACGAACGGAACGTTCGGTGCTTAGCTAAATAACGAACGGCTACTTGAAAAGATTTTCTTTACGGTTTTAACGAAAGAGTGGCGTTGTTAAAATTAAACCATTTTTGAACACAAAACTTGAAGAGGTAAAAGTATAAAGGTCAGGTATATTCCCCTCTTGAAATAATTGGTTACTAGAAATAACGACGACATTTAAAGATAGTTTCCAATTTGCTAGTTTTTATGCGCACCTACACTTTTCTGTAGCCTTGGTCACGATGATTTTCAACATTAAAATTCCGACCTGCGATTCTGTACTGGATACTTTTTAATCTGAACTGGATACTTTTGGAATCTGAACTGGATACTTTTAAATCTGAACTGGATACTTTTGAATCTGAACTGGATTCTTTTAAATCTGAACTGGATACTTTTGAATCTGAACTGGATACTTTTGAATATGAACTGGATACTTTTCAATCTGACATGGATTCTTTTAAATCTGAACTGGATACTTTTAAATCTGAACTGGATACTTTTGAGTTAAACTTTTTCTCTCCTTTTCGGGAGATAAGCTCATCTCAGATTGGTCAAAACACATCAATATTTGACTAATGACAAAATTCACTAAAGAACATTTCGCTGACCTATATTCAGCTTGCAGTGCGAATGTTTTGAATTTTGCAGATTTTGCTGAATCATTTATTTTTGCAATGTAAACAGCTTTGCACTTTTATTTTCAGACTTCGAAAGAATTTTTTTTTCAATACTTAATATAGGTAAATACAGGGTGTCCCTCGAAACATAACACAAGCAAGGGGATTTCTGAAACGGGGGGTGCAATGACGAATTTGCACCCCCACCCCCCAGTCCCATATAAAAGAAATTGTTTCTCATAATTTTCTAAAATCTAGTTAGAGATGTCAAACTTGACATCTCTGAAATCAAGAACTTATACAAAGTAAAACATCCTTTAAAGTTTGAACAGTTGGTTAAAAGGAAAAAATTCATCCATTTATTTTGGAATATAATAGCCATTTTTGGGAGTTTCAAAAACATTATTTTAAGCGAGGATATTTGTCATTTTTTGTCAAAGTAGAAGGGTTTTTTTGAGTACTCAAAAATTCACTAAGAATGTCTCAATGTCTCAATGTCAATAAATAAACTCTTTTAAACAAAATATTAGAAATTTTATTTTTTATTCATCTTCATAATATCATGATGAGGCCGAGGGACAANTATAAAAAATAAAATATAAGATATAAAATATAATATATATAAAATATGAAATATGAAATATAAAATATAAAATATAAAAAAGTATAAAAATTAAAAACATGAAACATATTTTTTTTGCTTGTAAATTTGTTTATACATATGAAGTTGTAACTTCAAGTTTAAAAAAGAAGGTCTATTTCGTTTATCTTTATGGCGGGTCACTCAAAATTATGTCTATTCCAATACCTTTAATGCTTACTTAAATTTAATAATTATCATGGTTTAAACTCCACTCCCAAAATTTTAGCATATTACAAAAACCAAGGATTTAAAAAAACATAAAATCGACCTAATTAAATAATTTTTTCTTTTCGCTTGTTGCAAATTTGTCATTTTTTTAAAAGCAAATAACTTTTATCTTTGGAATTTTACACGGAAAATTTAATAATCTATAAATACATTTAAAAAAGAAAATTGATAACCCTAATGATAATTTTTTATTGTCTAATGACAAATTAAAAGTAAGTTATTGCCAGTAGTGGTAAGAAAAAAGATATATATTTAAAATTTAATTTTTGATTCTTTTCAAAAAAAACCTCTTCAAAAGTGCAAATTTGACAACAACAAAATTTTTTTATTTTTTTCAAAAAAGATCTGCAATGCAGTTCTTTCAATATGAAGAAAATTGATCTAATCCTTACTGCTTCAAAGCAAAGATCGTGCCCGTTACTGATTTGATGATGCATGTTACTGCTTGAATGATGCATACCACTGCCAGGATGATGCATACCACTGCCTGGGTGATGCATGTTATTGATTGGATGATGACAATTCTGACTAAGATCAAATTTGCATACTATCTACTTTTTCGAATTATGAATATTTTAAACTTGGTGATTTTTAAAAACTTTAGAAAATGTTTGTCTTGCTATCATCGTGTTAAACTTTATTTACTAATAAAGAATAATAACATAATTTGTGTTGCACATTTTTGTTATGGAAATATTTTCTTAAAAATTAGTTTTTTCGCGTGGAGAACTATTTTGAAAAAGATAAATCTTCTGTTTAAAAGAATTTGAAACGTTCTTTCAACTGACTAATTACTCAAAGAATGTTTGAGGCAAAAACTACCCTTTAAACCTTTTTACAATTAAGAATAAAACATGTATCCTTATTTTCTAGCTGATAATTGATTATATAATTGTGGGGTTTCTACAAAAAGAATTGCGGATTTATATTGAAAATACCCAGACTAAGGTTTAATGGATATATGCCTATTTTTAAATGGAAAATCACTATATTCTTTTTAAAGAAGTAAATTATCAAAAAGAAATTCGTTAGAAAAATATCTGATCAAATATTCAAATATTCAAATATTCAAATATTCAAATATTCAAATTTCCAAATGTTCAAATATTCAAATATTCAAATATTCAAATATTCAAAATATTACCGGAGGTATAAAGAATATCGTTCAGATTTATTCAGACCAAGGTTATTTTTTGATTGTCAACTTAATGCCGCAAATTTGTTCAAAGATTAAAGACAACCTTGAATTCGTCTTTCTACAGTGTTTCGTTGGACACTCTCTACTAAAGTTTTAATATACATTATTTAATATTTATTTTGATTAAAATTACCTCTTTCTCTAGTTCTTGGGTATGCTTCTTATAAGGTTGTATAACAGTAGGCGGGCTGTTATAGGAGGGGGCGGGGCGGTACCCCTCGCCTTGTCTACTATACGGCGGGCCCGCCCCCCAGCCCGACATCAATGAGGGGATCTCTGCCAGGGAACGGTTTGGTGGGGGCGGGGTACAGCTTGCAGTCTGGTCTATTTAATGAAGGAGTGGCGAGAATACGTTCATTCTTAGAATTTTACTTTTTATGCATTTGATGTCAAACTTAAAACTTTCTTTTGCTTTAACTTGAAATACTTCAAATACTACGATGTCGGGGGAGAATATCTTTTTTTATGTTGATCTTACTAAAATCTATTTTGTTTTAAGAATTATTTTCAATTTGGAAAAAAATAGAATGTTAGTCTCCCTGCTTCAACAGTTTCAGTATATTTCTTCATCCAGGCCTAGTAATTATGACAATAATAATAATAATGCAGGGATATTCATAAAACTGTGGAATAGAATAACGGCATTTTAGCAATCTATTGTGTATTTAATGTCTTTATAAAGCAAAAAGTTTTACAACCAACTGCTTGAAAATCACTCTTTTAAGTAAAGTGGGACTGCACTGCACCAGGCACAGTGCCTTAAAATCATTAAGTTTAAAATTCAATTCTTATTTCTATTTAACAGTTTTATGATTCTTAATAAAATAAAGTTATTATTAATAATAATATTACTAATAACAATAACAATAATTAAAATAATAATACCAATATTTATAATGATAATAAAAAAATTAAAATAATAATAATAATAATNATATTGAAAATACCCAGACTAAGGTTTAATGGATATATGCCTATTTTTAAATGGAAAATCACTATATTCTTTTTAAAGAAGTAAATTATCAAAAAGAAATTCGTTAGAAAAATATCTGATCAAATATTCAAATATTCAAATATTCAAATATTCAAATATTCAAATTTCCAAATGTTCAAATATTCAAATATTCAAATATTTAAATATTCAAATATTCAAACGAATGTATCCCTACATGGGCCCAAAATATTAACATAAAAGTCCAATTCTGTTTGAAATCTGTACAATATAAAGATGAAACAGATGTTTACATTTTTTAATTACTTTTTATTTTAAATTAAGATTACGTTTTACTAGATAAAATTAAAACAAAAATGAAAGTAAAAATAATTATTAAAAAACATCATTCAGAATTGCCTTAAAGAATGTAAAAGTTATTTTCTCATGTTTGTTTCAAATACTCTGTTTTCTGTTTTCAAAACATTTGGTCAGCTCACATTTGCAAGATAAAGATGCATATTGCATAGTATATTAACTATTTAAAAGACTGTTACTTTGGTTCGCAATGCTATTTTTGGAAAGAAATATTCCCTTTTTTCGAGAACATATTTAAGTCCAACGTCTTGATAAATTATAAAACATCATGCAAAAATTAAAGCGTTATGGTAATTTTACAAAATATTCTTGCACATCCAAAAGAAGTTAAACTAAATTTTATTTTATTTTTAAAAATCATTTAATATTCGAAAGTATTTTTTTTTGAAAATCCGGGAACCAAATGTACTTCAAATAAAGTGTTGATAATAAAAAGAAGTTAGAATGAATGAAAAAGTACACAATATTTTCATATAACAGGATTTTGCCAATTGTTTGCAGTACATATTTCTGTACTCTCCTAGTCTTCAAAACATAAAAATGTCATTATTCCACGAAATCCTGCCAAAAATACGATCACGCTGTATACAAGTGTTCAGTGTTAGATACGTAATACGTAATGTACACAATAACCCCAGAAATTATGTTGGGGTGGCCAGACAGGGTCTATTGAGTAAATCCAAAGAGAATAGCATATATATTAGAGTGGAATTTAGAAAATCCCTCGGTATGAATTTTATCAGTCCCTTTCAGTCTGAAAGGGAGTTGAAAGTGTGCAATTCATGTAAATGTTCACAAATTATATGCAGTAGAGTACAATTAATGTTCCCTAGACTATCCATTTCAATTTCGATTTTTTTAAAGTTTTTAGATAAACTTTATAAAAGGAGTTAGGTGAATAAAAAACATCACTTGATTTAAAGTTATAACGGAAAATCATTGTCTGTAAAGAATGAAAGGCATTGAGTTTTTGTGAAATGTTCATTGGTCAATTATGAAACCACCCTATTTCATAATTTGGTTTTCTTTTAATATTAATTTTAGATTTGATTTTCAAAACATTTAGTTGAAGAAAATTTTTGAATTGAAAATTCTGGTTCCCAAATAATTTTCCTCTTTGAAAATTTGTCATTTTTAAACATTCAAATTGGGTCCGTACCTGCAGGCTACAATTATGGGAATTTGTTTTTTAATGAAAAAAATACATTAGATTGATTTCTATCCAAGCTCAGAGAATTGATTTAGAGAAAATCAAATAATTTTCAAGAAAACTTTTCTATAAAATGATGTTCCAGGCCCCAAACGGTTATATAGCACAAATATATGAAGTACACCTGCAGTATGGAAACAGTACAACAAAATGGCCGTGCTACACTATTTTCGAGTAAATTCCACTCTAATATATATTCTATTACTCTTTGAGTAAATCTAAGGCGATTTTGAACCTAGTCTGCTTTGAATTTTTTAAAGTCTATTTTGACAATTGTGAGCTAGTAGAGATAGACATTTTTGTGAACGTACAAATTTTTTTTGTGAATGATTGTGTCGTACAGATAAAAACGAGGGAATGAACAAACGATTTGTATAGTTCAGAGAAATAAAAGACTATCGTTTTTTTAAACGAATAGAAAAGCACAATCGAACGATAGAAATCGTTCTAACGAATTTCAAAAAAAGATAGTTTCTTTTTACTGAACGAAAGAATTTTTCTAAAGATTTTGAAAAAACGATAGTTTTTTACTAAACGAACGATTTTTTGAACAACCTATTAAAAAACGTGTAGTTTCTTACTGAACAAACGATTTTTTCTAAAAAACTTTTGAAATAACTATGGTCCTTTTTTAATGAACCTGCAATTTTATTGAACGAAAAGTTTTAATGAATTCAAACGATCTGATTTTACTGGTCCATCGTTTACCGATTAAACGAACGAAACAGAAAGTAAACGATATGTTTAAGAACGAACAAAAATCATTTTTTAACAGTTGGAAAAAAAGAACGAAATGGGTCGTTCACCCACAATAAACGAACGAAATGATAAAAAACAAAGGCGCCCATCTTTATAGTCTACATATATTATGTTTTGACTTTGTTGTATCTACCATCTAGCCTATTCTATTTCAATATATTCTATTATCATTATCATATTTTTATATTTTGTCTTTGTTGTCTCTTTAGTCTGTTCAGTATACTCTCTCTAGTGTATTTGATATTGTCTTTTTAGCTTGTCTATGTTTACTACACTGTCTCTATTCTATATCAATGTTGTCTATTTTAACTACGCTGTCTATATTCTATATCACTGTTATCTATTTTGACTACGCTGTCTATATTCTATATCAATGTTGTCTATTTTACCTACGCTGTCTCTATTCTATATCAATGTTGTCTATTTTAACTACGCTGTCTATATTCTATATTAATGTTGTCTTTTTTAACTACGCTGTCTCTATTCTATATCAATGTTATCTATTTTAACTACGCTGTTATATTCTATATCAATGTTGTCTATTTTGACTACACTGTCTCTATTCTATTTCAATGTTGTCTATTTTAACTACGCTGTCTTTATTCTATATCAATGTTGTCTATTTTGACTACGCTGTCTATATTCTATATCAATGTTGTCTATTTTAACTACGCTGTTATATTCTATATCAATGTTGTCTATTTTAACTACGCTGTCTATATTCTATATCAATGTTGTCTATTTTAACTACACTGTCTCTATTCTATTTCAATGTTGTCTATTTTAACTACGCTGTCTATATTTTATATCAATGTTGTCTATTTTAACTACACTGTCTCTATTCTATATCAATGTTGTCTATTTTAACTACGCTGTCTATATATTCTATATCAATGTTGTCTATTTTAACTACATTATCTCTATTCTATATCAATGTTGTCTATTTTAACTACAATGTCTATATTCTATATCAATGTTGTCTATTTTAACTACGCTGTCTATATTCTATATCAACGTTGTCTATTTTGCCTATACAAATTATACAGTTTGAATGAAGGTCCCATAATATCACAAAGCACTTAATTTTCAGTCAGGTAGAAAAATAAAGCTATCATCGTTTTTCTTGATCTAACAAAGGTGTAATAAGGTACCTTAATAAATCGGATATACCACTTAATAAATGGAGGGTCACGAGAAAGGACGTCTTCAATATCTTTTAACGTAAATAAGCTGTA